ACTACAGACACACACACACACCCACACACCGATACACACTGCAACAATTTGTCACTGGTGTTGAGCGAAAAGGTTGGACTCGACTCTCTGGCGACATTTGAAAAGTTCTAAAATAATATAATTTTCAACGCTATGGCAAACTAACAAGTTCGACTTTGGCGCTGAGGAGCGAACGCTCGCTTGCCCCAAACTTTTGCCGAAGACCGGAAACTTTTTGGTTGCACTGTTGCAGCAACGGTGGACTTGGATACACACACCCACACACACACACCCACACACACACACCCACACACATACATTGTAAAATATAAAGAAAGTTTTCTTAGCCTAGCTTGAAAACGTTGCGTTTTCAGTGGCAGCAGCCGCATCGACGTTGTCTTTGGGGAAATTAAACATTTTCTATTTGAAAACTTTGCAACGTGCAAATCTGGTTGTGTATGCGAGTGTGTGCAACTGTGTGTGTGTGTGTGTGTGTGTCTAAATGTGGCCAAAAGCAACAGTTGCCTAACTGTGAACTATGCTGTATCTAACGGTACGTTCCTGATCTAAGCCCTTTTGTGTTCAACAGCGTCCGCAATTGCGGAAGTAATAATTTTTTCTAATTTTTAGCGACTTCTGCTTGACAAATTCAGCTGCAAATTGCTGACAGATTTGTTTTGGGGGCCAAGGGTGCCATGAAATTGGTGGCAGCATTTAAACTTTTTCTGCAACGCTGCTGCTGTTGATCCTGGTCAGGGTTGCACTAACCTTTGGCTCAGAGTGCGCCAGCTGCGCCCTGTTTTATGCAACACTTTTCAGCTGTGTGTCTCAGGTTTGGGGCAGCTGGGGGCCAACGATTCCAAATGTCAAGCGGGCGCCTGTCATAGGTGTTGCATATTAGATGGCTGCACTGCAACACTGCTGCCAAGTGCACCCCAAAGTGCATGCAAATATTTTTGTCAACGATTGTTTTGTTGCCTGCCAGCCAAAATGCTGGCCTGCGACTCTATTTCGCTTCTGGCATCGCTCGCAGCTCGCTGCTCGTAACTGTAAACACCGCCCAGGGTCGTTCTTGCCGCCGTCGATGTCGCTGCCCCCTTGTTGAGTAATTGCTGCGCTAGTGAAAATTGGCAGCATTTGCCAACAACGCTAAAATGCATATCAAGTGAAAGCGCGCACAGAAAACTAAGTCATTTCAATTTGGAAAACTTAAATTTTTAGCTGTTCTAGCTTAAGATGCTTATAATCATTAAGCTGATTGGATTATTTGAATTGAATGACTTATTTGACTAATTAATGATTTATCTGTAATACTCTACAGAAATCTAAAAATTTAATCTGAAGTTGAAATTCATGTAAGAACATTTCCAAGCTTTCCACAGACCCCACAAAAGTGGATCTTAATCTTCCAAAGCCACAAACCCATTGAATGACTTATTTGACTAATTAATGATTTATCTGTAATACTCTACAGAAATCTAAAAATTTAATCTGAAGTTGAAATTCATGTAAGAACATTTCCAAGCTTTCCACAGACCCAACAAAAGTGGATCTTAATCTTCCCAAGCTACAAATCCAAAGTAAGTTTTTGACTGAATAGAAATACCTGTTCAAGACTTTAAAGTCCCGATAAATATGTGTGCACTTATGATACCTCTTTCTCATAGAACAGAGCAAAATATAAGTTAACAGAGTGCAAAGCCAAATCAAAGCAATCATCGTGTGTTTGTCAATTCAGCTGGTGTCATGGTTATTGCACACAATAAAAAAATATAACAAAATGGAATCTATACAAAAAGTCGAAATAATAGCAAAGCTTTTCGATATTTTTTCAAACATACCTAAAAGTAAATGGAAAATAAATTTGAGCATTGATGAAATGGATCACAGGGCGTTGCACGTTTCGATGCGTTGCATTTGTTTATTTTTTGATGCAGGTGCATGGGCATTATCAAATAATTCAGATGTAATCTCTTTTAATCTGACGAGTTGTGTGACTGGCAAAAATGCTGCCACTGTTTGACTCCACCAGCTTCGTGTTGCATTTCAGCTCCCTTCCAGTAATTCGATACGCTATGAATTCATTTATTTCGCCATTTTACTAAACAGTACGCAGCATTAAATCTGTGGCATCAACACACACACACACACAAGCTTAAATATACTCGTATATTGATAGAGCTGTCAAAAAATATTTGCTTTACACATTTTTTATGTGCATGCATTCATTCGTTCACTCATTGATTGCCAGAGACGAGTATATATATAGATAGATATATATACGTATATTCAGCTGATTAAATGCACTCAAAGCGGCTTAGTGTAATGGACAAATCTAAGTGACCAACAAAAAATCTCTTCTCTGTGCGGTGACGTAAATTATAAAGCATATTTTGGTTATGAATTAAATAAGCACATTGGCTATTCATACTTAAACAAGTTTAAGCCACTTCTACAGATGCGCATTTCAATAAAATTACTTTAAGTATCGAATTTTTTAAATATTCTGTTCAAAGTGAAGGTTTTCTTTTTAAGCAAATGTCAAAGGGAATTTCGAATTTGTATTTTAAAATATATATTTGAATAAAAAGCAGCTAGTTAGTGCAAGATAAAATATATTTCCATCGCTTCCATCTTGCAAAAAACTGCAAAAATAGCTTATTTTTCCTCAAATGGATATCGACCGAAAGTAATTTTATTATAAAAGATTGCACAAATAGAAAATGATTTTTACTCGCACAAATATAATGCCAAAGAGAGAAAAACGAAGCAATATTTTAAAATGCTGTTTTGATTCAATATTGCACATTTCAAAAATGCAAATTCCTTCAGATTTCTTTCGGTCAAAGTGTTTTCCATATCTTAGCTAAATATGCAGTATTCCATAACCACAAATTTTGGAAATATGTTCTCTCTCTCTCCTGGTTTTGGCACACCACACTCGTGTACATATCATTATCAGTTGGCACAAATATGTTTGCCTTTGCCTGCTGACCCTCGGGCTCTGCACTAAGTGCGGTCAGCTCTGGCAACATTTGCTTTGCCTCCCCTTCACCCCATGCCCATGTTTTGCTGCAAGTGCTATGGAAATGTGGACAGTTTTCGGTGTCCTTTGCATTATTCATCTTGCGGCTGTAGAATACAAAAAACCACTTGACCAATCTTTCGTTCGCACTTTGGCAGCGAGCAACGCCTTTGGGCCATTTACTTAAGTTAATTAAACTTTGTTTTGCATGCCCTCAAATGTCAGCCGAAAGCCGAAGACAAATCGCTGTCGACAGTGGTATATATAGCGCGGTTGCTTAGCCATCATTTATAAGCAACAGAGCTGCATTCATTTGTGGTGCAACCGCGTGGCAGGTAATAAAGTTGCAGCATCAGCAGCAGCGCACGACACACGCCACATATGAATCTGTAAACGGTAACCAGCAACTTCCAACGGACAGATCTGGCAACTGGCAACTCTCAACTGGCAACTGGCAACTGGCAACTGGCAAATTCGGTTTTCCTACAAGGATTTTACTCAGTTGAGGACCGCTTTTAGCGCAAATTGAAATGTTTTCTTTTTTATTTTTATACCCTATAATTTTGAAAATGTGTGTGAAGAGGGTAACTTGAAGTTGTGCCTATGAATGTAAAAGACAGTTGAAGGTATCTACAGCCCTACAAAGTATATGCATAAATATTAGTTGAAACTATCTATCTGTCGATCTCTGTGAACCTATCAGAATCTAGGGTATCTAGGGTATCTGCTAGTGGAGTACTCTCAACTAGCACACATCACACTTGTTTCTTTTTTGTTAAGTTTTCATTGGCCATTTGTGCAGTAGCTTCTTGGCTGTTTGCAGCTCGGACAGCCAAAGACAAATATGGACAGTAAGCGGCTGCAGCAGCTGCAACACAGACATTGGCACAAAGCCGTTCTGACCATTTATCAGTTCTATGTTATTGGCCCAAAAAAAAAAAAAAAGAACAACAGAAGAGAAAAAAACTAAAGAGAAAGCAGAGCAGTGGAAAAACAAAGCGTGGCAAGTAAAGGGAGAAAGCCAGCAGCGAAAACAAATGCAATAAAATGCAATGTTTCTATTACAACGATTTACGTTCCACACACACTGATGTGTGTGCATGTGTGCGTGTGTGTGTGTGTGTGTGTGTGTCGTCATGCTTTTCAGCTAGTTACAGATTCTCCCCACGACAGTCCCCTCAACCCCTTGGCAACATTTTTATTGCCTTGAACAAATTTTGGGCGGCCAACAAAATGTTAGCAAAGTTTCACGGGTTGTTGTCCCGGCTATGAATTCAACTCTTTGTTGTTGTTGTTGCTGTTGTTGTTGTTGTTGTTTGTTAACTAGCACAACTTAAGATAAGCATTGTTGTTGTTGCATTTGTTCCTTTTGTTAGTATTGCTGGACACTCGCATGTATTTCTTTTTGGCAATTTTAATTGCTGTTGAACTTGGTGTTGCAACAACAACAACGGCAATTACAACAAGAGCAACAACATTAATGGTAGCAATTACAACAACAACAACAACAACAAGTGGTTTGGCGTGTGTATGCCATATATTTGATTTAACTTGTTGGCGCTAAAAGTTTGCACAATATTTTGTTGCAACGCGCCAATAAATTTATTTTGCCCTTTAAAAACTATTGTGGGAATTTAGAGATTTGTAGCGCACATTGTTGCAACACACATAAATACATACATTAGCAACATGCATCAATTTATGGCATTGCTGAAACAATATGAGCTCATTTATTTAACACAAGAATCAAAACAAATAACAAATTGTTAGTATTTAAATAATTGTTATGAGGCACACAACGACTTCCTGTAATTCACAGTGCTATAATGAATGTTTTAACTAAATTATAATGATCTGAATTTGAGAAACAAATACAAACTATTTAAGTTAGATAAATTAAAAAAAAACCAATTAATTATTTATATGAATGCTATTATAGAATATAGTTCGATGTCAATCATTTTTGGCAAGGGTATGCAAATAGTGTAGTTTGTAGTTTGATTGCTCCTTCAGTTGTATATTTTCGTTTAGCTTCAGTTTAAATTTTGTATACATTTCATTTTTTACAGGATATAGAATATAATCCAAGAAATTGTATGCACATTCATTAAATTAGGTTGCATACGTTGTGCTATGGGTTGTGTAGTGTGATTGATGGTGATTGTTATGAAGCTCATCAATTGCATTTTGAAGCCAATATGCGAAATATGCAACATTGGCGTAGACACCCGGAAATCCGGGCTTGGCACAACCCTCACCCCAGGAAACAATGCCAACCAGTTCGTTGTTGGAGACCAAAGGGCCGCCAGCATCTCTGCCGCATGCAGCCTTGCCCTGATCGCTGGCACAGATCATGTCCTTGGTGATTGCCCAGCCAACCATCGAATACTTGGACTGGGCACAGGTTGTACGATCAATTATTTTTAACCATACGCCCCGCAATTGACTTCGACACCCACAATCTCTGTTGTATTTGGAAGCACCCCAGCCCGAAACAAAAGCATCGGCTCCATTTGCCGGATACTCTTTGGCGATTTGAATCGCTTGGGCCACACCTCCAAGTCGAAGCGGTCGAGCCAATCGCAATAATGCAATATCATTTTCATGGGTCTCCTCGCCAAAGTGTTGGTGGATAATAAAATCGGAGACCTTCACAAGCTGGCCACCAGAATTCCACCTGGAGGAACCAGCGCGCACCGTCAACTGTTCAGCGGTAGTATTAATCAAGCATTGAGCAGCTGTTAGAATGATATCCTCGCTTATGATGGAGCCACCACAAGAGAGTTCACTGTGATTCAACAGGGCCACCTGCCAGGGTGCATCCTCAATCCAGATCTGTTTGCCATTCACAATGCGTGATTGCCATATCTTCCTGCGGAGTTCAACCGCATCCAACAGAGTTGGCCCCGAGCAGAGCACAACCAACAGAGCCAAGTACAACCACATCTTAAAGTAGAAGTTCTTCTTTGTGAAAATTGAGTGTAAAACACGCTGCTTTTATAGCACATTTCAATTTTTATCAGGCACTTGACAGGCCGTTAGTTATTGTGGCTTATCGGAATTGAGTTCGAGTCCGTTTTCTAATTAGAATTCTTAGCTGTGCAGTTGCAAATATCTGAGATTATAAATTGCCGACAGTTGTTTAGCAAGTCATTGTTGAGTGCGTAGTTCGTCGAAGCTATATAAATTAGTAGATTTATAGTAAAATAGGGGAAGAACCCAACTTAGTGCATGAATAATGCTAAAGTTTTAACGAGCTTTTGGCAGCTGATATTTATCCGATCACTTTTAAATATAGGATAGGATTCCTCATGATTTATTCGGTGGTGCGACTTGTTATCTAAAAGGCAGCTCAAGCAGAGAAGTCTGTTGGATTTTGTTTGGCTGAAATGACCTACGCCCTTAAGGCGTTCTCTGTCATTGTCATTTTGACAGTTTTGAAATAGCTCTCCAAGAGTATCTTTGTAAATAGCACAAGTATATGAAATATTGCAATTTCTGAAAATTATTGTAATGCAATTTCCATTTTTCAATTATGTTTAATATGATTTTAATACAGCGACGAGTTGATTAATTGAATTTGTTATGCAAAACCATTTTGTAGTGAGGCGTGTTTAATTTTTTTTATTATGGAATTTTACTCTTTTTTCTACTTTATTGCTAATTTTTGGACAACAATTAAATTGTTGACTGGTTCATTTTAAATGTTGCGCACACAGGCAAAGTTATGCGAGCTGTCGCACTCGGCGTATGCGTAATGTGAGCGAAACATTTAAATTTGGATTAGTATTTTGACTATGTATGAGAGGACAGGCACAGGGAGAGATAGTGTGTGCGTGCGCATTAAAATCGAAACATATGCAGAAATTGCAATGCATATGGCCAAATCGGCGTCGTGTGCGCCGTATTACCAACTACATGTATAATATATTTTTGGCCAGTTGGCGAATTTGCTTCTTTACGCAGCGGGCATATTGATTTCGGACAGGGCCACATAAATTAATGCAGCTGCAACAGCAGCAGCAGCAGCAGCAGCCGGCGACCATTTTAACCATTGACCATTGACCAGTTTGCCAAACAGTTAGAGCAGTTATGGCCCTCCTCCCCTTTCTGCCACTTCCCGTCGATTTCCCTGGTTTACAGGCACGTCAGCGGCTAGAACGCATTTTAAAATTATATTACTTTGAATGGCTTTTTAGAAATTAATAATTACATATGACAACATATGCATGTGTGTGTGTGTGTGTGTGTGTGTGTGTGTGTGAGCGTGATTGCGTTAATTTTTTATATGCAACCGTCTGAGTGCGCGCTGTCGACACGGCTTTAATTGCCAGTTAAATTTCACAAAACTGCCAAGTGTCAAATTAAAGTTTCTAAAATTTGGCAAAATTTGCAGGGAAATGCGGAAGCGGAAGAATCGAATGGCTCTGCGTAATATTTCATTAAATTAATCATTCAGAAATCTGTTCATTGTTACATTTACTAGTTAGCTGGATTATTAAACTATTTGATTAGTAATTAAGCTCTATTTGCAAAGGGGAAAGCAATTAATTCAGTTTTATAATGTTCAGCAAGTTTTTGAAAAGTATTTTACTTATTTATAGCTTTTGGGTTAGATAAATTCCTCTATAAATGTTTGTTAATTTGAAATTGAAAAGCTTACTTACTTAAAAAAAAAACAATAGAAAAATATCTCAAACAAAAATGCTCCACCTGGAGAACTTACTCAAATTATACTCTATTTAAATAAAATGTTACAAAAATATACATTCTACAGTTTATTTGCTTTATTTGTTTTCTATTTTAAGAACTTTTGCACATCTATTGAGAATTTCGTTGGCATTTTTCAGATATTGTACTTGGCCAACATTGGTTAGACAGGTTGCAGCTGTGGCCTTCTCGGCCATCTTCCGTCTGTGTGCCCATATCACATGTTGGCTTTATTCTTTTTATTTATTTCCTTCGCTTAGGTCCCCATACGCAAGCCGCCAAATGTCTGGCCGTTTGCTGTATTCCCACTACTTTTGCCCATTATTAATTGCTAACGTGCGCTGATTTCTTTGCACTACACTTTTTACGGCTTTCTCTCGCCGCTGTTATTTCCAGTTGTTGTTGCTATTGTTATTGTTATTTGTTGCTGTTCGCCTTTGGCTTTTAGCAATGTTCGAAATGTTGTCTGCTCGTAGGTTGTCTTGTCTGTTTGGCTCAGCAGTGACATTCATGCACCGGCGAGCAACTGGAACAGGGGCGAGAGAACTGGTGCCCGGAGTGCCCCAATACGGCAATAAATCAATGCGAACTTGTAGTCAATAGTCCTAGCGGCGGCGGCTTTTTAAAGTCACTTTTAATGCACTCGCCTAATGGGTATGCAACACTTTTTTTTTGCTGAAATATACGAAAAGAGATGAAAAATTCAGAATGTAGTTGATAGGAACTGTAGGAACATCCAGGGATGTCTTGCGACTATGTTTTACGACTCTAGCTTAAAATAGATATTTAATATATATATTTATTTTATATATTTATATTTAAGCTATGATTTAATGGAGAAATAGAAAGGCTTTCTTTACGATATATAATTGATAGATTTACTAACAGTGGAAAACACTTGAAATTAACAAAATCTGGAATATGTATGTTGTATGTCTTACATCAGTGGAAAGCCTATAATTTTACTATTATGAGAATCAGCAGATTTTAGAAATGAAATCAATTCAGTTTGTTCAGTTCGGTAAATAAGGCTTTGTTAGGGCTATTCAAAATAATCATTTAGTAATTAAAATTTTTCTATTTATTAAATTGTTTCTTCGTGTTCATTGAAACTTTGCAAGTATGAAACCTGTATCAGATATCATAATAAAGCGGAAAAAAGTGTCGCCCTATTCACATTGTAAATCCTTTATTATGTTCATGTCAAAACAGACAAGCGACTGATTACAGTTAATTTGCAATTAAATACGTTGTAATGTCCATGTTTACGTATTTCGATTCCATTTGACTTTGATGGCGCATCGAACGCGATTCGATTCGATTTGTATTTGGACCGCATTGTTCAGCATTGCGTGTTTGCATAAAGTGCACAAAACATATGCAAAAATAACAAAATAACATTAGAGCAACATTATACGGGATTATAGCCGATTGTTTACATTTGAAATGTACAAAATATAAGCACAATTTCCAATGAGCACACTTGGCCATTATTTGAATATGATTATTTAGTATATAATGTGCATAATTACTATTCGGTTCAGTTTGCAATTACGGTAAAACCAGTAAAATGTGAAAAATAAAATATGTTTAAGTATTTTGAATACACTGAGAGTAAATATTATCGTTGATCGACGATTCTCTACTAGACACAACACAATATAAATCAATGAAATTGTAGTAAAAATATGCAGATTTTTATTTAAAGCACAACTCAAAGCCATAAAATATTTATATATATTGAGTATATATGGCAATTTAAGCAGCTGAGCTTCGAATCAACTTCACAACTTATTAATTATTCTCTTTTAATTTAATTTGTATGCTCTGATTCGAATATCAAAGTAGAAAGCGCAAAAATCTGAATATTCAACAGATATTAAATGGGACAAGAAATTGTATGGCACCAAACAAAAAAAAAAAACATGAACGCAACAAGCTGTGTGTGAATTGTTATTGAGAGCCGACCGACAGCCCACAAACAATGCAACTGCGATTGCAACTACCATTCTGCCACTGCCACTGCCACTGCCACTGCCACTGCCACTGCAACACTAACAAGCAACAGCAACTGCAACTTAGTTACTTACAGTGGTTTTAACGTGGACAAAGAACAAGAGTACGAGCCAATGCCAACAAAGGCCAATCTCCAAATATATTGAAAAACAAGTCACCTCCAGCTCGAGACAGCTCGACTGGCAGATACCCTAAGCTAAGGTTTACTTAGCCATAAGCTCTACTTGTTTTAGATATTCATTCACACACTTTGTGTGTGTGTGTGCAATTTGATAAATATGAAAATATAATTTTCTTCAAGTATATCTGAAGCGAAGATGCTTACAAGAAAGATACAACTATACAAATTGTGGTTTTTATTGTTATCTGTAATCGATTCTTATCGATATTGGAGAACGGTGAAAATGATTGATAAAATCAAATAAACTTAATCTGAATTATGAGCAATAGTTTTTAAAAATTTAAAATTTCGACTAAACGGCTGATTCTGATGAAGAAGTTGCTTCCATCTTTGCCTGTTACAAACGTTTGCACAACTGCATGATACCCTTGTCAACCACTTGGGTTCAGGTCACAAAAAAAAAAAAAAAACTCCGGGGCAAATACTCCCACTCCCACTCAAACAGAGTGTGTTTTTTCAGCAATAAATCTGACTGCAGTAAATGCAGCTGGGTGCCCAAAGTGGGCGGCTGCTGTTGTGAGGCGTGACTGCTTACAAGTTGCCATGACATTGTCATGCATATGAAGTGCTTCATACATACACACCCGCACACACACACGCACGCACACACACACACACACACACGCACACACTCTCAGACACAATGAGTGGAAGCGTGAGGTTTCTGGCTTTTAATTGCTGTTGGCTGTTTGGGCCTTCGTTTGTTTACAAGCTGCGCCAATTTCGCGCTACTATTAAATTGTATTTAATATTTGCAATAGGCCCACGCGCCCAAATTGCTTGCACAATTTAAGCAGCCAATTGTTCTTGTTGGCTTTATTGTTGTTGTTGCCATTCAGCTACTCATTTTAGTTTAATTTCTATTTAAATTCATATCGTCTATGCAGCGCGACAAAAACAAAAAGAAATGAAAATGAAAACTTTGCCCAGTTGCTGCGAGGGTATATTTTATGGCAACACTCAGCGCTTAATTACCCCAAAGCTTATCAAAACATCTACGAGGCGATGACGCTGATGACAACCACAACGTCTCAGGCACTGAGGGGGTAGGGGAGGAG